TGGTGGCCGTGGCGCTGAGCAGACGTGAGGGAGGCTAGGGTTGCGTTGACGAGCGGTGGCCACGGAGCTCTGCCAGCGAACATGGCGGACGCGGCCGTTCGCCGGCGTTGAGGCGAGGGAGAACGCTGGGAGAGAGAAGGGAGGGCAGAGGGGCTCGCTGCTTACTCTAAGAAGGCGCAGAGGGTAGGGCGGCGCTTGGCAATGGAGGTGGGGTCGATGACGGAGCATGGGCACCACGCGGCGCGCGTGTCCAGGGCTGGTCGGCCACGGCATCCCACTACTGATTCGATTTCAAAGTCTGAAGCCAAGGATTGAAATACCACCTCAGAAATGCGACTGAAGCTCCATTTTCCTCCCATCGTATCTCCTAAATCAATAGATGATTTGTTCCACCGATTACACCGTTGTGTACAGATACAAGATTACTCCAACTTTTATTAAAGGAGTTTGGCCAGATTCAAAATGGTTTGCAAACTAAAATTCACCAAATATGGGTACATGAAACTGAAATCAGCTCCAACACTTAGCCAAATTTGCGAAGTCCAAAAACAGCAGCGGATTGCAACTTTGAGCCTCTGTTTGACTTATTTCCATGCTGAACTAGGGTATACTCCAAAAACAAAGTTTGTTCTACACATCATGAACTACAACTTTTATTTAGGGCTCCATACCAAAATTGGTATAGAACCTATAGTTCTACTTTGACCAATGTAGTATCACGATAAATCTTAAATTATCCTTTGTGATCCATTGGAGCATTTTCTGGACATTTGCTCAACATGAACCTTTCATGACTTTTGTTGTAGAGTTCAATTAGAGTCCTTTGGGCAAGGTTGCAAGGTTTGATTGATGACTTATATTTCCATTCACTTAATAATGCAATCCAAGCACTTAGTAAAACCATTCCAACAAGGATATGACTTATCATTTCATGTGACTTTTTGATTCCAAACTTCATAAAACTTTTCTAGTGGCCAATATAGATGGGTATTGATGTGCGACACATGAATATATCCCAATCACACCACCCAAGCATATATCTTGAAAAGGGCCTATATGTGGGCAAGGATGCAATATCCAAGTTTAAGTTGGGCTCATGTTTATAGATTTGGATTTGACATCTTCAACACCACTTGATCTATCATGTTTGAGCTCAAACTCCTTGCTTAACTGATGACAAACACCTGGGTTGTTACAGCGGCCTCCGTAGCGGCGGCTAGGGCCAGCAGGCTGGAGGAAGAGTCGTCAGAACCATCGGATTCCATGGTGACTGGAGGAGGGGGAGAGGAAGGGGTAGGCGGCACCAAGGCGGTGCCGGCTGGGAAGCTGGCCGGCAGAAGCAGCGGCGGCCTCCAGCGGTTTGGGCTAGGTGGACGCCGAGGCCAGGGTGGCCACCGGCGGGAGGGAGCGGGGCTTAGAGGGAGCAGGGCTCTCTCCTCTCTCTCTCTCTCTCTCTCTCTCCTCTCTCCTCTCTCCTCTAAGCACCTAGATCACTCATGTTAATACTATTTTTGACATTGTCTCTTTCTTGCTAACTTATACGACATTCCTTTCAAATCAAGCGTGTTATCTGCAAAGTTAAATTGTGTTGGCTTCTACTATGGAGGATCTTGTTGACTAGTGGTACGAACTCACAAAACCCTTTAGAGCATGTTTGACATAAATTTTTTATAGCTCCGGCTCTTCCTACACCAGCAGCAGCACCGTTGACGAGATCCTTTTTCTGTCTCATTATGAAATGAATGTGGAGCTATGAGAAGCCATGATTTGTGGCTCATTCGGCTCTTCTTCTATGTGTTAGTTGATCTCCATCAATAGGTCTAATGGTCTTTGGGCCCTTCGATCCACATCCTGATCGGGGACGCCCAACCCAAATATGGTTGATGGGCCCCCGTCGCACAGCGCCATAAATAGGAGGTGGGGGCTAGGGCGCTCGAGTCACGAGGTTCGCCTGAGCTGCCTAGCACCCCACCTACAGTCCTAAATCCTAACCGATCACAGAGGGGGCACTACCAGCGACGAGAAGCGCCGCCACCGCCTCTACATCACGTCGGAGGACTGCTATGACACCAGGCTGCCCTACGACCTCTACACCGACCTCGGACGACTCCGCTACTGCACCGCCACCGGGTTATCGACAAGCACTGCGATGGCGAGCCCATCTTCATCCAAGGCGGCCGATGGTTTGCACCCCTTCACCTCTCTCTCTCATTCTATTTCTAATCTAGTACTAGTAGATATCCTAGGACTCATGGTTTATTCAAAGTGCAAGTAGACATGCTAGATTTATGTCTAGAGATCCTGTTTTAGTTTAACAATGGTATCAGAGGCCTCACTAGGTGTAGATCTAGCCTATCGGAACCATTTGTCTAGATGTAAATCATGTTAGGGGTAAGAAACAGATTAGATCCGTTCGGATCTGAGAAGAGAAGAGGGTTACTGAATCCTAACCCTAACTGAGTGAAGGAAAGGAGTAAGAAGAAGAGGGACTCGGCTTCAAGAAGAACCCAAATCCGAGCTCAAACCCACAAAGAACTCACTGGGAAAGATGAACAGTGACTCTAGTGAGTCAAACCCTAACCCTAACTTGACTTAACCCTAACCCTAATCCCCAATCGGATGAAATCCGTGAAGAACAGAGAAGAAGATCCAAAAGGAGAAGAAGAAAAAGAGAAAGGGGAAGAGGGGAAGGGGCCTACCTCGCCGTTGCACCGTGTTGCCGCCTCATCGGTGCGCGAGAAGAAGGCCGCTGCTCATTGAGCTCTGGCCAAGGGCGCCGAGGCCAGGCCGCTCGACAGCGATGCGCTCACTCGCTGGGGAGCGTGCATGCCGGCGAGGGGGCCGGCGATAGCATCGTCATCGCTCTCGCCTCGCTCGGTGTCGCTGCCCGAGCTGAGAGAGAGAAGGGAGAAGAAAGAATGGCACTAGGGTTTTGGGGAGGGCGATGCGGCGCCGTTTTTGATCGGCCAAGATCACCGCGCGACCATCGGATCTGATCCAATGGCGACCAGAGAACGGGCCGCCTTTCAGCCCAGGCGAGCAAGGGCGCGAGGCCGCTTTCCCGGCCTAGGCCTAGGTTGCGGCCTGGACGCGGGGGAGCGCGCGGCACAGGGCTCGCACGGCCATGGGCCGTGGGCCGGTTTCGCGTTTGGGGCGAATTGCCAGTAAAGGATGAAGCCATTTTTTTCCGGTAAAAGTCTTATTTCCTAGAAAATGGATAAATGACTTAAAGAAAATAGAAAAGAGAATTTTCCTGTGGGTAAAATTCATTAAATTGAATTATTTTTCCGTTGCAATGTTAAAGTCAATAATCTTCTAATTAAATTCGAACCAACAAAAGAATTTAATTTGTAGAGTAGTCAATTTTAATCGGTAAATTATAATATTATTATTTTTCTAACCAACCTTGATAATAGCAATATTATAGTGTTTAATCATACGTTTTCGATGCATTAATTCTATTTTTGCCAAACGGTAATGTAGAATTAGTGTATAAGAATATTGTATGTTTTAATTTTGACTAACGTTAAATTAAAGCATGCAATTATAATGATATATTTTCTCACTATCTCTGATGATGTTTTTCAGGACTCAACCCAATGGCATTCATCTCGCACATACCACCCCTAGAAGGGGGCAATTACAGAGTATGACGAGAGAAGTACACTACACCACAACACCAAGATTAGCGATGGACGGTCTGACGCTAAAAGTGGCTACAGCGATAGACAATCTGACGCTAAAAAGTTATAGCGACAGACTTCTGCAGACGCTGTAAGTCCTGTCGCTAAAAATCTTTAGCGTCAGACAGTACTTTTAGCGCCAGACAGTCCGTTGCCCTGAATTTTTTTAGCGACAGATAGTCTGCTGCTACTCTTTAGTGACAGATAGCCTCCCAGTACTCTATAGCGACAGACAATTTGAAGTTACAAATGTTTTCAGCGACTGATGGTTTGACGAGATTATTTAAATGCATTTAAAAAAAATAAAATGCCATTTGGTTGCAAATTAATACAAAAGTAACATCATTGTGCACATTTCTCATACAAATAGATTCATTCATGACCAAGTCCAAACATTTACTAAGACATACATATATGGTCAGCCATTACAAACATGAATCAATGATTCATCAATGATAAGTCTACATGATGTACTACATGTATCCAAATGAGATCGACTAGCACCTCATTGGCAATGCAGAAATATGAGTGGATCCACAACAACCTCATCCACTACAAACCTCATTGGCTCTAGTAGTATCATCAACATGAAACTCTAAGAAAACATCTGCTTTTTTCCTGCATCCAGGTTTGTGCAACATACGCTAGGGATACTTCAAATGCTTGCTTTGAACCAACCATAAAGGTTAGCATGTTTCCCTCTGAGAGGCAAGGGTAACAAACATTAAAATCTATAGGTAAGTCTTAACTACATAATAGATACGGTATGTACAAAAGATACCATATTCTACAAGACTTGTTTAGGACAGGCATACCAAGTGGCATGAAAAGAATATAATAACTATTCACCTTAATTTGAACAAGAAGAGTTTGCTTTAGTGGATATAAAGATCGAATCGCTCAAGGTTTAATCAATAGATGAAAAACATATACCAAAATAAGATGTCACATATAGCAAGGCGAAACTATTCAGTTTCACAACAGAGTAACTTGGGCAAACTAAGCATTCTCCTTTTCCATGATCTAATTCATATTAAAGCGATATTCATTATAATCATATGCCATATTAAGATAGAAAATCTGGTCAAGACAAAGTGGATTTCTAAAATTCTAAGAAAACTAGACAAAGCTAGTGCTACTTTTAAGCTGTATAAGTTTTGCATCAACAAATATATCCTAATTTTACTGAGAGAAATGCATCCAGATTCAAGTGTTCTAAATACACAATTCTCCAGATGCAGCAGCCTCTTTATTTCCAATACCAACACCATTAATAAACTACATAATATTAAAGGCACGCGCGGAGAGTGGGGGGACCTATTCATGGAAGCCAATAAATCTGTAGAACAGGCCATCCTTAATCCTGACTCCAAGCTTATATGCTCTGGGGACTTTCATCCAAGTAACTGCAGTTACATCAGCTTTGTCAATCTCAATGGTCTTTCCTCCACCTTGTCTCTTCCATGCAAGTCCACCAAAATACACTTTAAACTGAACAGGGTTCTGCATAGGTGCAAGGGTCATGCCAGTATGTTAATATTCTAAACGTTCACAAAAAGTAATAAATTGTATACTATTCAAGAGCAGCAAACAGCCAAACACGGGAGCAGAAACAGTAATAGATCTTGAACGGAAGGAATGCAGAACATTTAGTCTCAGGATTCATAAGTATAGGTATAATACCAAAGATGGTCAGGCGTCAGATAAGATTACCTCTGCATCGACCTTGCAGGTTGCAAGACATGGACCCCACTTCGCTGTCAAGTGTCAACCATCCAGAACTGATCTTTCACATCGTCCAGGTGAAAAAGGCATTCCCATATTTAAGATACTAGGGTAAGCCAAATGAAAAGGGCAGCTAGGACAGTCTAGGAGGGGAGTCATGGGCACCAAAGATACAAGAGCAATCATGGGCACAGAAGATACAAGAGCGATCCACAACATGCTCATCTTGCAGCATTAGCAGAAAATAATACTTTGGAATGGTAGCAAGTTTACATATAATTAAAATAACAAATAAAATATACAAAGATCAAGTCTAGATGGTACAGCAAATTTTATATCAGTATCGTATCAACAAGTGATCTTTGCTTCACTAAATGTTAAATTAAAATTTCATAAGAAAGAAGAACAGTTGTTGGCTGCGGCTAAATCTATCAGCAAAACATAACTTGACTTTAAATCAATCAGTGATTTTATGTACAAATCCTTTGCATCATGTGTCACAATGGTAGGATCAACCTCAGGACCTTCATTGCGTGGAATCCCCACATAGACAAGTAAAAGCTGAAATATACATTATATCGTTAATTGCTTACAGCGAGAAAAAAGTGCAATTTAAATTTGAACATATATTAACTACTAACTTATAAAAAGTAATTTGATTGGCATACAAGACATGAAGTTCATGCTTGAGATCCTTTGTGCATTAGGTAAAAGCATAAATGACTACTGAGAAAAGCAATTGAATCAACTTCACATCAAGAATTGCAATATGTCAATGAAGAATGGCCATTCCATCGGTCTTATACAACACGGGCATTAGATGTGAGAATATCTCGGACATTAGACTCACAATGGCAGATTATGTAGTCATTTAAAGACATGGAAGTTGTTCCAAAGAAATTATAGCCAAATATTCACCTTCCTAAGGTTGGTCGATTGTAATACTAAAAGTTGAATAAAATGAGTAATTTAAGTGTCTTTCATGTATCATCATGTATAAGGTGAACTAGAACAAATGTAAGGCAAATATTCTAAGTACTAAGGATCAGGACCTTCGGTGATCGCCTGGATGTGTGGTGACCAATGTCATGCTCAAGATATGTCTTGAATCTAGCATAATAAGTCTGTTTCATTATTTGCAACTGTGATGGTGTCTGGAACATATAATCTTAGTGGCTGCTCTCAGATCCATAGTTTCACCACTTAGAGCTTCTCTCAAAACAGTTGCATCACGCCCAAAGCAGGATCAAGAATCCACAGCGACATAGCTTTCGGAGCCACATGAAACAAAGTTAACATATTTAACACACCGATTTTGATAAATTAAGCGTAAACACATGATTGAAGCAACACATATCCACATTTTTAGCTAATTGATTCTAATCATCGGTTTTCATCAATGAATATATGGTGCAGTTGATGAAGCATATTGGTACAGCTAGATTAACGATTTGATTATTTAATAAAGAGAACAATTATTCAAGAACTTTTCATGCCTTGTGGTTTCCTTTGTGTTCAGATGAAAGGCGATGAAAGAGTTCCTCATGATACATAGCCCTGTATTCTGTTGAATGAGTCCACGTTGCCTTTGAATCGCGATGAGTAAGTATGTTTATCACTACTGTACTGTCACAGCCAAACCCTGGACAACCATAAACCAAGGCACAATATAAAGAAAGTCAGCATGTTTAGTGACCACCTCCTGCAAATCAATAATGAAAAAAGCTTTGATATTTAAGTAAAAGCATCAAAGTATACACAACACTCAATTCTTTGGAATTGGTTCCATGTCTAAGTTCGACTATTTATGCTCACTTGCAGACAGCAGCTGTCATCATTCAAGCACATCAAACCAAACTCACTGTAAACAACAATTTTCAATTTTGTTGAAAAAATAACAAATCAAAAATCCAGTTGTGATAAAAAGGCAAAAGAAACACCTTGAATTAATAGTTCTGAGACCATCCCAAGTAAAACATATCGAATTACAACATTTTAGTTATATAAATTTACAGGTAATGGTCGGTAACAAATAAGTTCTGGAAAGTCACATCTCTAAGCCATGGAAAGTCCGGAAAGAGCAGATGGATTACATATGTCAAGAATGAGATAAGTTTCTAGAAAGCTAGAAGCGATTGACCTGATTTTTGGCCTTTTGTTTCAAGCGAGTTGATGCACAACACTCTTAAGATATTGTGAGGAAATTGGAATGTTTATGGGAAGGAAATGCGTAACAGAATAGAAATGAACAAAACAATAAAATAATTAGCAAACACATCAACTTGCATACCAGTTAGCTACAAATTCTTTAATCACAATTGGAGCATACAAAACAACACCATACTTTCCTTAAAACAAAATTTTATATATGTGAATCTTATAGTTATTATGCATCTCTCGCCACCTTAAAACAAATTCTTATATAGCATTTCCTCGGCCACTATACACTAATTTTAGACATGTGGAATATATTGCCAGAATTATGCTACTTTGACTCCAAGAACAGACTATTCAAGACGACCCACACGGTGACTTGCCCTTATATCAATCCATTACCCACTTGACCCCAAATTGTAGTGAGATAAAAACAAAAACTATCTTAATCAACCTCCGGACCTTCATAGCGTGTGGGCCTTAATCCATTACCCTGGTCAGTTCAAAATTTTGGGGAGCCACCACCATGCCGAGCCCCCACAACACCAAATCCACCACCCACAACACAAGATCCGCCGCCCACCATGTAGGAGAGGAAAAAGAGAGAGGAAACAACGAACCTGCTGCCGTAGCTGCAGCCGCTGCCGCCGCCACCGTGTTGTGGATCTGGCTGCCATGTCGTGGATCTGGCCGAAGGAGAAGGGCAGACGACTCATCGTGGATCTTGCTAGAGGAGAAGAAGGGCGGCCATCCCATAGTAGATTCGGTCGAGGGAGAAGAAAGGCGGCCACCCGTCGTCAATCGGCTCGGCTAGGGGAGAAGAAGGCGGCCACCACATCGGCCTCACTGGCTAGGGTTATGGTTGGCGGCTATGAGCTCATGCACCATGCCCCACCCGTGCCACCATGGCCCGTCTAGGGGAGCAGGCGACCTCGGTATTTGGAGAAGGAGGGAGGGAGAGCTCGCGTTGGGAACGGAGAGGCAGGGCGCCGATGCCTTGCATCATCGATCTTCTCGGGAGGAGGTCGTGAGGAGAGATAGATGCGGGTGGATGGGGAGCGATGGCGAGCAATGGGATAAGGCGGCGGGGCTACATGCGTTGCCGTGGGCACCGTATGGTAAGAGTCTAGGGTTTGTCGATGGGCGAGGCAAAAATTTGCGCATCTAACCGCCACGGAGGAGACAGGCACGTGAGTGGACATGGGGCCCATTTTTTAGCGCGCCGACGGATCTCCACGCTATATCTGGTTTTAGCGACGGATGGGCTAACACTAAACATGAACATCTCAGTAGCGACAGATGACAAATCGCTAAATGAGGATTTAGCGTCGGATGGTCTCTCGAAGTTATCTTTAGCGTCAGATCATCCATCGCCAAATATAATTTTTAGCGTCAGATGTCTAACGGTGAAGCGGTGTTGTGGTGTAGTGGTATGAGCTCACACTTGCGCTGTCCGGGAATGACTTAGCGCTCACCTCCCCGTGTCTTACTGAACCAGTGGACCCGGTGAGGAAAGAAAATGAGTTTGATGCTGATTTCACTGCCCGGCAGCGAGATCATGCAGAAGTGCGCATGAAGCATGATCTTGAGCGCAAGAAATGGGGCATATCAAACCGCAAGTGCTTGATGGTGGCTAAGTCCACAATCTCAGATGGTATAAGGGGGTCTATCCCAGACTGTGATACCGCCATTGAGTACCTAAAGAAGGTGGAGAGTCAGTTCATTGGCTCTTCAAAGGCTTATGCTAGTACATTGATCAAGAAATTATTCAATAAAAAATATACTGGTGGCGGTATTAGAGAGCACATTTTGAAGATGAGCAACATGGCTTCGAAGCTGAAGCCAATGAATTTGAGGCTCAAGGATGAGTTTTTGATTCATTTGGTTTTTGCTTCCTTGCCAAAGGAATATGAAACCTTTGTTGTTAACTACAACATGCAGCCCGACAAGTGGAACATAGAAAAGCTCATCACAATGTGTGTTCAAGAAGAGGAAAGGCTGAAGTCCTTACAGGGTGACTCTGCTAACCTTGTCAAGGACAAGAAAAAGAACTTCAATAAGAATGCCAAACCTCAAGGGAAAGCCCCTCAGACTGAGCATCATCAGAAGAACAACAACGCTCAAGTTGAGAAGGATCAGTGCAAATGGTGCAAGAAGCATGGACACTAGTAGAGGGATTGTCCAGACTTTCTGAAGAGCCTGCTGAAGAGAGGTGAAGATTCCATTACATTCATAGATGAATCCATGTATATAAGTTATGCAAAATCTACTTGGTGGATTGATTCAGGTGCAATTGTTCATGTTGCAAATTCATTACAGGGATTCCGTACGAGGAGGACCCTACAAAGAGGAGAAAGAAGAATTAAAGTAGCAAATGGAGTTGAGGCTCAAGTTGAAGCTATTGGAGATCTTTCTCTAGAATTTGTTGATGGTTTTCTACTTAAGCTTTTAGATGTTCTATTTGTACCCTCTTTGAGAAGAAACTTAATAAGTGTTTCACGTTTAGATAACAATGGATATGATTGCCATTTTGCTAATGGCAAATATCGGATTGTTTATAATAATAAATGTGTTGGTCTTGCCTTCTGACAAGACAAGCTTTATTTATTATCACTTTCTAAGAATGTGAATGATATAAGTATTGA